AAACAAAAAGTCGGATGTAATCTGCGTTACAAGGTTACGCGATTTGAGTACGCAACAATATAAAAAGATTAGCTCGAAGAATATATTTTACATTAATTTATGTTGAGCCTTTGACAAAAGTCAAGATATTTTGTTATTTCTCATAGTAAAGACATAAAAAAAAAAATACAAAAATGAAACTGCTTTTAGTATTTACCATTTCCTGCTTGGCGATTTCCAACACGTGGGCGGCAACTCTGGACGCAGAAAGCAATGTACGCCCTATAAAACTTCCTTCTAAGGAATCATCGAATACATTGAAAGCAGAAGAGGCCGTACGAGTAGCAGCAGAAGAAGATAGCGCGGCAAACGAAGATAGTGGATCAGAAGAAGATAATGGAGATGAAGACGATAGCTTAGGAGCAGAAGATAGTGAAGAAGAATACGACAGTAGTGAATATGATGAGGACAATTATAAGGATAACGGTGATGACAACGATAACAACGATGATTCTGATCTTTATGCGGATTATTTAAGTGACGAAGACGAGGATGCTGCTAATGAAGGATAAGGATGATTGTGGTGGTAATGAAGACGATGACGAGAAGGACGAGGATAAAGTTGATAGTGGTGGTAATGAAGACGATCATGATGGTGATGTTTTTGATGTACTCAACTAATCGTACAAAAACTTATCGCCCTACGCAGAAAAAAGAAACCGAATGTTTTCATGTCCCAATTACACATCGTTAAATATGTATAGCATAACAAATTCATTTTCAAAAATAGCGTAAGAAAGTTTTCACATAAAATCATCAAGCAAAATATACAATTATATATAATTAATAATGCGTACTATGATAGATCAAGGAATTTTAATAGATCGTAAAAAATTAGAAACTAGTCACTAATCTTCGCTATGCTATAGCTAAGTTTCAATCTCAATTTATAAAGTTTCGGTTGGGTATAGTATATATTTTTGAAACATCGATAATATCGGTTCAAAAATCGATTTTTGCCATCGATGTTTACAATTTCCTATAATCGCTAAATTGACGATACTCATCGATGCCAGTTTCAACGATCTTTTAACATCGACTTTGGTGTGACTCAGACTTGAATTCAACTTACCCATGATGCTCCTAAAATTTTTTGACTCCGCATGAATTTTATAACTTATTCTTTTGAGGAACATTCAGAAATTGCGAGGGTACTCTTATCTTTCGATATTAAAAATGCTTTGCGTTGAAATCTCAACGAAATTGGGCCTTGGCACTTTAGGCTCAGCGAACTTACGTCGGCATGCATTACATACATATATTTATAGGAATGCAGGGAAATACATCGGTATGTAAGTATTTTTCTAATTGAATGGGAATGAGAACTATTACATTTTCTTTTTATTGTGACTAAAATCTAACAAATTTTGAAACATTGCAAATCATCGATATATCGATGTTTTTCTGGTGATGTATTTTAGCATCGATTTTAGTTTTTCCGATGCATCGAAACATGGATGTGACGATATTACTCCCCAAAATTTGGACTCCTAGATCAGTAAGGATCTACTATATAGTTATTATACATATACTTCTATTCGATGGCAATTCATCTCGTTGTGAATGCCGTGTATGAGTGTAAGGAGAATTTTCTTTTGTTTCTCTTTTAACCATTCTCCAGTGTTTGGAATTTACACCTTCATATAATGTGTTTAGGTCATTTTGACCCAATAATATAAATTAATCAATTACAAAAAAAAACTATTGAATTCCGTAAATATTCCATTTGTCATATGCAAATACTTTATTTTCAAGTGCTATATGCTTACCGGTTCAAAGTTGCACTTAAATACTATATAATAATTTGGGTCAAAATGAACCAGCAACACTGTGGGTGTATGGAGAAACTATGGTGCGTTCTAGAAAACAAAATAAAATAAAAAATGTTTTATTTTTTGAAAAACTTGTCGTTTTATATGGCTTACATGATAAAAGCTGCTTTCACAAACTATGGTCCCGATAGATGGCGCTGGGCCGAGATATTTACACTGAGGCAAATAACGCATAGTAAAAATATATATTTTTTATTTGTTTATCGTTTAAAAATGTTCGTATTCCAAAATAATACTTTCATAGCGAAATTTAGCACGCACGTATTTGAATGACCACTTCTGAGTATAGGTAAGTGTATGTGAACCAAGCCTGCACAGCGGTTACAACACAAACACGCATACATACATCCCTGCAGGAAATTAAACTATTTTGAAATTAATTTGTTAAAAAGTCCTTTTATTTCAATAATAAAACAAATTAAATTTCTCACTTTTTCCCTGCTACGAACTCACTTATTTAGCATGGCTTAAATAACTTCAAAGCCTGTATGCTTCGTTTGAATACGCTTTCATGCTGCACTTCACTTATCCTTCTTCATACTTCTAAGACACACATTGTTTCTTTGATTAAAAATATGTAGTATTAAAATTCAAAACATTTTCATTTTTCGTTTGTTTCAAAGTAATCTTTCAATTAGTTGGGCACATTTATCTATACAAATGCACTGATCGCATGCTGTGGTATTCATTTGAAAGCACATTTACATGCCTGGCTGCAGCTGAGTGCGCAAAGACGCTTGCCACAATTTGTTAATTTCTACAGGGTCAGGGTTTAAATTCATTTTGCAGGCAACAGGAAATATAATATTTTTTTTGGTTTGTCTTAATTTCATTTGATTTAAAAATGTGTTTTTATTTGATTTTACATTTTTTTCATTTTACAGTGTGGAAACTTAGTTATTGCAAGAGTAAGACTGAAAGAAACCAGTTCATTGACCAAAGGAGTATCTGGTCATGCTGATATCCTCGGCGCATCAACGTGTCACGGGTGTATGAAGAAGAAGTATTTGCTATCCAGCAGGCAGCGCAGAATCTCTCTCAAAACCTCGGGAGGAACAAACGAGTATTCATCTGTGAAATCTTCATCATCTTTTAGATGTACTACAGTAGTTAAGCGAAAATTTATGTAATTTCAATTAAATGGGATCCAAACTAAAAAAAATACGCTTACAAGTATAGGGGGCATAGCAAAAACTCAATCAATACTACCTTTTATATTACGCTTTACAATTATTGGTAGCTATTTTTATAAAAGCAAAAAACTCATGTTTACACATGTGGTAGATGTTGTAAATAAAAAAAAAATACAAAAACCTGGTTAGTTATTGTTTATCAAATGGTAGGTAATCTAAAAACTGTTGCGTCAAATTTTGCTTTCACTTACCATTTAAGTATAGTTCACACCTGATTTTCAAGGTTATTGAATCAGCATTCCTCTTAAAATACAAATTATACTTTGGCGCTTTTGTTTTCGTGGCTTGACGGGCAGATACTCGAAAATGGCTTCACCGATTTGAATAATTTTATTTTGAGAGTTGTCGGCACTTAGAAAATCAAATTAAGTAAATTAATAAGATAAAGCAAATAAATATTTCAATGTGGATTTTAAAAGAATGAGTATTTAATAGACAGTAGAAAATATTATTAAGGCGAAATTGTATTTAATTGAATTTATACGATAAATTAAATATTCTAATATGAGCATTAGACCAAAAAGGTTTAAGAAGGCTTACAGCCGAATATATTCTCACATAACTAGATAGATTAAATATGTCCGATGACCGATTCCTATGCAACCCAAATTTTGCAAAACAAAAAAATGTTTGGCCGCTATCGAAGAAAAATTGCGCGTTCGAAAACAAGACATTTTTCCGTAGGGTAAGTAGTGGATAGTAGTATAGAGTAAATTAAAGAGACTTTCTTCTTCATTATAATTCCAATAATAAACAACTGTTAAAATATTTAAACTATATACTTACAAAAGCTATGTATGTACATATGTGTACTTAAGATAGATGTAGGAAAATTTTAGATAGATATTTTAAACACTCAAAAGTCGTGGCTAAAATTTATGGGAAAAACATGTATAAATAAATCCAACATGAATTTTTTCTACCCTTTTTTGAAACCTCTGTACCTGCGTGTCTTTTGTTTCAAAATTTTACTTTAGTTCTTACCTTTCCCTACAACTAAAGAACACGGGACTAATATCTTCATGTTTCATGACCTCTGTAGCTTTTCTCTGTTAAAGACTAGATCCCTTTTAATCACTGGTTAAATATACATGGTGTTTAGAGTTAGTTGAGGTTAATTTAGCTTGGCCGACTTTGCGTGGCCGACTTGTGTGGGTTCAAATCATTGCCAATTATTCCCTTACAGTCTGATGCCCATTTGTGAAAAAATACTGTAAGCGTGACGATCGAGTCTAAGTTTTTTCTTCTACTCATCTTTTCCATTATTGTAGGTGTTTCCTTTTGTAAATTGGTTTAAGGAATGGTCTGAGCAGTCGTTCAGTTACTTTGTACTTAAAGCGAATCCCCGCTGAGTTAACTGTTCTCTAGCCCTCAGTCTAGGTTAATACATCTAAGATTAAGGCACAAGCTTCAATCACTACCTTACGTACTATTTAGCATGTTCGAGTCAATTGCGCGCTGGGTATACGCTGTCGCAAGTCAATTTAAAAAAAGCAAATTATGTAAAATAAATAAAGCATGTTTTTGTAATTATTTCCTTGAATTTTGTTGGGGTTTTGTAAGTTTTTTACAAATAAAGTCGCGCAAGTGGTAATTATATATAACAACCAAAATACACCAGAATTGAAAATTAGTTCTATCTTGGAATTTAATGATTTCGGTTCATTTAATATGGCTAAGAAAGTACAACTAATTTTTATAGCTGCTTTAATAGTTGTGGCTTTGGCCAAAACTAGCGCAAATTCGGCTGAAAGTCAGGATTACGACTATTCTTCCGATTGTTATGCAGATTACTCTTATAAGGACGATTATGCCAATGAAAGTTCTGCCGATGAGCCTCGAAACAAAGCGAGTGCAATTACTGCCCCAGCTGATGATTATTCTTCCGATTATTCCATTGAGGAATACTATGACGAAAATATTCCTTCACAAATTCCAAATAGTGCTGCACAATCCGAAGAAAACGGCTCTGATGATGGTGAGAAGATAAATGAGACAACCACGGCACCGCAAACGCAAAGTAAGACCGGAGCAAAAAAACGTGGAGCTGCTGATAAAAGAAAACGTAAAGCAGCGCAGAATGCACGTAGAAGGCGTAGTGTACGGGCAAGACAGCAGGCGATTAGAAAAAATAGAAATAGGGCTGCACGCCGAAGAAGAAATAACAGAAATAAAGTCGGAAGGGGGTAACAAATACGAAAATTTTACAATAATACATATAAAATTCTTTATATATTTCAAATAAATACGAGTAAAATGGAAGAATGACTCAGGTGAAAAAACTATATATCGTTATCTTAAGATAAAAAAGACCATATCTTATTTCCTTTGAAAATCCGACTTTGTACCAATGTCGGTAGTATACTCACTGATACTTACTTACGGAATTTAAAAACAACTACTACGACATTTGGTTAATGATAGCCCTCAATTAAAAACCGCACAGCCGCAGAACGTAAAGAAAAGGGGACTTGCTTTTTAAGGAAA